ACTTTAAATTTAATATTTTACAAAAGACTTTTTTCTTTTTCTTTTCTTTTTTTTGTTTTTTGTTTTTGTTTTTTTTTTGAGACAGGATCTCACTATGTAGTTGAGACTGACCTGGAGCTCACTATGTAGCCTAGGCTGGTCTCGAACTCACAGCGTTCCTCCTGCCTCGGCCTCCCGAGTGCTGGGATTACAGGCGTGCACCACCACGCCCTGCTGTACAAACGACTTTTAATTTAAAACAGACTCTTACATTTTAATTAACAGTTTTAATCCTCATCCTGCTCAAACTGCCTCCATTCAACTGTAATAGGTGTTCCAGTATATGAGATTAGGTATGGAAAAGCAGGTATAATTTTATAATTAAAGTCAAGGGCAGGGTATAGCAGCATATACATGTTCACAACTCATTAGATGCATAGATGATAGATGAATTCTTTAAGGAAGAGAGAAGAAAGAAATACAGTCCAGTAAAGATTTTCCCAGTTAGAGCCAACACCTCCTTTAACGCCTTGCTCCACAACTCTGCCTCCCATAGTACTGCTTTTGATCAACTCCTCGCTGAGAAGCTTTCCTTTCTAATCTACAACTAGATATCTCCATCTAGTTCCACATTCGGTGTAGATATTATCATACCTAAACCTCATTAAAGAGTTTATGTAACTGTAACTGAAGGAAAAAGCTACCAAAACAACATTCACTTAGTTTGCACTCCATTTGATGAAAGATGTTAAGTGAAACAACTAGAAAACAGTCTAAGGTAGAGGTTGGTGCTTTGGTTCAGAAACATGTTCCTTAGATAAAGCAAGGATTTAGGAAGGAAGGATCTGTTTTGTAAACAGGAAAACAAAAGTCCATTTATCAATTTGAATTTAAAAATAAATGAAGAATTTCGGTATTTACCCACATTCAGTAAACATAAAAGGGAACTAATCACCACCTCCACCGCCACAACCATGGGTTATATGTGTACAAGGCTAGATCAAAGTGGTAGCTAAGAATATTACATTCTGCAGTTATTCAAGGACGACAGTTGAGAAAGTTTGATGACAGAGGATAAAAATAACACTAATTTGAACATAAATGGCAGATTTTTTCATTCATATATGTGAATATTTATCATCTTACCCACACCCCCAGAAATCTAAGAAAATAATTTTATAACATTAACAAGTTCACTATCCAACAAATTATTATTCTTGCTTTCTGAAATGAAAAGACAACTTTTGTAAAAATGTGAATATAGTGAGGCACAAATAAAATAATCATTACTGTTGGGTTTAATTCAATTTGCAGTTTTACTGCATAGTAAATAACACACATAACCTCTTTTTGAGTAGTTTTTCCACAGTGAAAAAACAAAGCATTTGACAAGAGTGAGTCAATAGCAATTTAGAGGAGATGCAGAAGCAGAAAAACAAACAATTTGAATGTGCTTTACTGATAAAGAGACTATGGCCTGTTTACTTTTTCATACATTTAAAAGAAAGGCGGAATCTTCAGCTCCCAGCTTGACAGTCAGTTACAAAGAGCAGAAGTCACCTTAACGTTTCCTCTGGAGGGTATTATCACTGCACTCCAGTATCAGCAGAAGGTAGAAACACATGTGCTCCATCATACTTTGACCTTTATACTTCAAGTCAAGAGTCTACTGAACAAGGCCAGTTTTCCTCTCCAATATGCACTTTCCATACCTATTAAATAAGTTCACAGAATTTGTTCTGTGGATTTCATTTGTGTTTGAATGAAATATGTATGGGTCTAGAAAAGAAGGCCAGGGGGCATTTCCTTAAATGCTATAAGGAGGTATTTCCACCACCATCACTACCACCATTACTTGCCAGGGGATTTATAAAGTATCTTGAAGCTCGAGATTATTATGGGAAAGAAGCCAAGTTTAGGAGTTGTTAATACAAAGTAAAGATAGTATTTTCCCAACTTTTAATCAACCAATAAAACAAAGCACAGTACTTCAGTGTGGTCAGTAGTGATGTCTCTTCTACAATGATTACATTTGGGTTTGTCTATTTTCTTTATGCCAGTGAGGTTTGAAATTGGAATTAAAAATCCTTGGGGGAAAAGCTATTTTTGTAATTTGGCTGGAGTGTCCTTGTCTTTGAGTTTCCCATTGCATCAACCCCTTAGCCTGGTTCGGTAGCCACGATAGTATTCTGTCTTTTAGATGAAATGTAGAACTAAGGACATGACTACTGGTGTTTATTAAAGATTCCTTGCTATTTTCACAAGAGTAGGGGCATTAGGCACTTGTCTACTGGCCAAATTCTAAATTGGGAGATTACATTCTGCTTTCTTAAATTCCCCTAGCAGAAGAAGCCATGCATGGTATACTGCTTTACTTCCTGTGTTAAAGTGTTCTGTGATGTCATTAAAAGACTCTCATTTTCTATTCTCCAAGTGATCACTTTTTAGTGGGGTGGGGAATACATTGGTATCTACTGTCTAATACTGTATTTGATCCAGTTTCTTTCCCCACAGCTTTATTGAAATATAATTGACAGTAAAGTTATGTATATTTCAGGTGTAAAACTTGATGTTTCAGTATATGCATACATTACAAATAATCACGTCAGTTGAGCTAATTAATATATTCTCCTCACATATTTACCATTTTCTTTTAAAAATTTTATTTATTGGGCTGGGAGTCTAGCTTAGTGGCAGAGCACTTGCCTAGCATGTGTGAGTTGGATTCCCAGCCCCATTTAAAAGTTTATGCTTATTTTTAATTAACATGTAATATTTTTACTTATTTAAGGGGTACAGTATTATAATTTGATACATGTAGACAATGTGTAATGTTGATCCAGTGTCAAATAAATTAAAAATATACTACAACACCTAAGGATAAAGAACAAAACAAAACAGAACACCCTAATGGTGTACCAGTTGCTTGTGGTGGTGCTTTAATTTTTAAAAAACAATTTGCTCTCTCCTGTGCAGCATAGAAAAAAACAGTAATGTACTGCAGCAAAAAAATGAATGTATTTTTTACTGCAATAGTAGTTGAGAATGAATTGTTACCAAACATAAGGTTAGCTCTAACAGTGGTGATGAGCTTTGAGGAGATGAAACCACATATCTCAAACCAGTTAAACCATCTCCTCTTTCTCCCAGGCTGCATCTAAACATGCCAGACAGTTGATCTATTTTATAAAATATTTTGGGGAGAACATTATTTATCTTTCCTTGGTAACAGTGTTTCTCAATCTTTCCGTAAAAAACAAAGTTATATTTTTGTTTTACTGAGGTTACATCTAGTTTAAAGTCAGTATGTTATGTCCATCACTAACCTTGCTATTATGTATTGCTACTAAGGGGCAATGTGGCATAATGGCATAGTTTTTAGGACCCAACATGTCTGCATTTGAATCCTGGCCCTGTCACTTTCTGTGTACATAATGTTTGGCAAGTTATTTCTGAGGTTTAAGTGAGCATTCTGGGAGCCTAGTTATGAATATCAAATGAGACAATATATTATTTTGAAGGATATTGGGTAGGACAAGGCATAATACTGGGTACCTAGAAAGTGCTCAATAAATAGTTGCTGTTTTTTGGGGTATGTACACAGATTTGACTTAATTTATAAACCCCTTGAGAGTAGGAGATGTATTTCCTGTGTATGCCTTTTTCAACAGAAGTGTATTGTGCACATAGTATGGCACACACACTCAGTATTTACTGAATGAATAAACTTTTTAAAAGTTCCCCTCTGAGTAAAATAAACAGCCAACAGATATTTGCAGGATCCCACACATTTAGATCAAAGGTGTCAAAAATAGGCAGATATTTGACTTTGCTTAGATATTTTGGCATGGTGTAAATGACACAATGCAAATAACATACTTTCTATCAGGTTCATTTTTATGAGTTTTAGCATTTGATTATTGTCATTTTTAAAAGCAGCATTCTAAGCGCCCAGAATTGGATCGACTTACTCATATGCCTCCTCATTCATCCAAGTTTTTTTTTAAATTCAGAAATGTAAAAAGAACTATCTAATCATATGTCTGAACAAAATCTTCCAATTTGTGACTAAGTACACTACCTTCCCGGTATTTCAAACTGCTTTCCCAAGCCAAGAACCAAAACCCCAAAGGAGAAGAGCCCACTGCTGCAAATCCCAAAGCACAATTACCATCTCTGAATCGGTGTCATGGTTTTTAGAACTTTATTTTTGGCTTTAAAAAGTTTTCATGGGCCCAGGAGGGGAATTTGGGGGAGCCAGTGAAAGACATATAGATAAAACTGGGCTTTAATATTTGTTGATTAGGAGATTACTGCATTTTTGCCATACTCTTGGAAAAACCCGGGTGTAGGCTTAGGCTGATATTGAAGACACCACCGCGTGGGTATTGACTGGTCTTTGTAAATTCTTTACAGGGGCAGACTCAGGCGCGGAGCTCAGAGAAACACTTTCTTGTTCACACTCCAACAGTTTCAGAAACCAGCATATTTGAGTCTGGGTGGCTCAAGTTCCATTTAAGTGGGCTCAAGTGTCTGTCACTAACACTACATGCAACTGAAGTCATCAAGCTGTGATTTGGGAATTGGACGCTTTACTTCAGACTTTTTCCTTTCTTTTCCCCTAACACTAGTTTCCCATTTCCTCCTTCCTCTCCTGGCCTGCCCACTGCCCACCTCCTCCTCTTACTCCCACTCTCCACTGTCTTTCCTTCACCTTCTTCTCGGCTTCCTTCCTTCCATCCTCTGGGGCCCTTAGGGTTTGGGTTCTGAGGAGGCGTGAAAGGGGAAGGTCTGGCGCTAGGAGCTGAGCCGCCAAAGCTCCTGGCGTGCGCGGCAGCG